AGGGGTGCTGGTGGGTGAGGTGGGGGGCTGTTTCCTCATGCAGCTGTCTGTACCCACCCGTCCTGCCTGTACCACTTCCGTCAGATGATGGGTGGCTGCTGGCCTTAAGACTTGGTGGGGCTGACACAGCCTTGCTCATGACGGGAAGCTCTGGCTGCATTGTCACTTGCTATATCTGGTCAGTTTTTTGGTCTTTTCAAGACCTGGCAGCATGCAGGAGCTTCCTTTTGAGTGGGATATCATTCTCTACTGCAGAGGGCATGCCCTTCTCCAGAACCCTCAGTGTCTGCCTTTCAGTTCTCCTGTTGGAGTTTTCCATGGATACCACATGGTGTCTTTTCTCACCACAGATGTCCCTGGGCTATAGGACACACCAGACCAGATGATCAGTGGCAGGACTGCTTATACCACAGCCTGGGCCTGCTGCTGAGCCCTTCCCTGCCTGGGCTCCTCAAAGCTGGCAGCATTTATGCCCCTGGAACATGGTTCCAGCACTGAAGCACTATTCTCCAGTACACTGCCTCCACACCTCCTGTGCCTGACCAAGCCCCACTTCTTAGTGGTGGGATGTGCAAGCTGAAATTGTTCTTCAGTCTGGAGGGTACATTCTAGCACACCCCAGACAACGTGGTCCTTGCATTTTTTCACTGATATGGTGCACCCTTGAATCTTTGCATGATTTATGTCCATGGTCTGGTGTGCATAAATCTCACCCAGGCCTCCAGTGTGCTTCTTGCTCATCTGATCCAGTTAGCCTGGTGTCGTTGCTCTGTGGACCACTGTGATGTTCTGCTGGGTATGCAGGTGAAGTAGACAGTGGGCTGGAGATCTACCATGGCGCTGGGGCAGACCTGAAATGCACGCTGTTGTGCACACCTGCAGACCCCTTTCCTGATAGAATGAAAAGAGCCTTCATTTGCTACGTGAGTGGTTGCTTACCACATTAGGTGGGAGCTGCACTGACATCACCCAGCAAAGATGCCATGCCTGGCCCATTTTCTACAACTCGGGCCACTTGCTTAAATGCATGCAGTCCACTGTTATCTGCTATTGACAATCTGGCTTTTGTAGGGACCAGACTAGAGAGTTAAATGGGGGTAAGACAGGGCTACCCCCTGTACTCTCTAAGTCTTTAAGGGTGACATGAATCTGCTATTCCCTGGAAATGGTATTATCTTTGACTTACTGTCTTGTGGGGCATGGGGCTAAAAATTTAGAGACTTCCACTTGGCCTGCCCCACCAGGAACAACGTGAGGACTCTGCACTTCCCAAGTGTGCTAATCGGGTTACATAGTCAGTGGCCAGGGAGATGACCAGCAGGCCCCCACATGTCCCCACTCTCACAGGGCACAGGTGCTGCTTGGGCACTGTTTCCAATGACCCTCTGATGGTTACGGGCTTTCCTCGATGACTGGACACTCGGTCAATGGCCTGTGGGGCAGGCCTACAGGATTCACATGGATGTACTCACTGCACCCTGGCAGGGCCTTTCTCATCGGGCCCACTAACCCTGTCAGTGCCTTCCGGATCTGGAAACTGGCTCAGTCTGAGAACCAGGCAGAGGAGGAGCACTTGTCTGGGAGGAGGGTAGCTACTCTTGGCACTCTGGCCTCGTGGATTAGCAGCACCTGTTGGGCACCCTGTTCCATTACCCTCCACAGGTCTCTGCAGCTGAGCCCCACCTGCCACTTCAACCTGTGTCCATTGCATCACCAACTTGCCCACCTGCCCTCAGTTATTTTGGCTCCTGTAGTCCCTGTAGCTAGCAGGGAGGCCAGTTCTGGGCACCATCTCCTTCAGCCACCTGGCCTGCAGAGAACAGCTGTCACTGGGCTTCTCCTGGGTTTTGGTGCCCCCCCACCTGCGCCTTCCTTGTCACTGCACACAGAGTGTCTTTGGCTTCATTGGCCCTCCCTCGGGATTTTGATGCCTCTCGGCGGCATCCACACAGCAGGTGTGACCCTTCTGCACTTGGGGTAGCTTTCCTTTCTCCCCTCTTCTCAGTGCCATCCTGGGGGGAAAAGCACCAACTGCCTCTGGAGTTCTTGCCAGGGTGACAGTCTTGTGTCATGGAGCTGCATTCACATTGATTGAACCTGTCATCCCACCTCCCTCTGTCCTGCAGCCTCAGGGTCTGATCCTGCCTGGGGCCTGGCCTTCCAGCACGGGCCAGCCAAACCCCACATCTTCTTGCTGGGTCAGGTGCCCCCACAGGGTGGGGCGGGCTGGGATCTGCTCTCATCATTGTCTGAGTCAGAAGGGAAAGGTAGTGAAATCTGGAGGCAGGTACCAGCTTGGGGGACCTGCCTGGTCTTCTGGGAGGCTGAGTATCTGGCTGCATCCAACCAGGTATCTTCATCTACGTAGGGCACGCCATGCTGTGCCACACCTGTACATCTCCCCATTCAGAAATGGTCTTCCTGTGCATCTGTCTCCTTCCCCCAAGTCTGAGCAATTATGAGTAACTAACTCAACAAAGGTTCATTGAGTACCTACTGTGTGTCAGGTGCTGTTCTAGGCAGTGGGGACACAGCATGAGCAAAATGGACACAAATCCCCATGATGGGAGACAGAAAATAAACAAAACAAGTAAGTGGGATCTATACTCTGCTAGTGGGTGATGCACTTGTGGAGAAATTGCAGCCAGGAAGGGACGTGGGGTACAGGAGTGCAGCAGATGGGGGGGGCCAGGCTGGGGTGATTGCCCCTGGAGCGGACGTTAGAGCAAAGACATGAAGGTGAGGGAGGATGTGGACAAGGCAGAAGGCACAAAGGACCTGGGGCAGGAGCTGGTTTGGTGTTCACCGCTATGACCATCGTGGTTGGAGTGGGGGTGTAGATGGTGGGGTCAGAGGTCATGCAGAGCCACAGGGCCTTGCATGGGTAAGGCTGTCACCAGGGTGGAGCTATGGACTGGTCAAACGGGACGAGGGGAATGAGCAGCCGTGGTGAGAAGCCCAGAAGAGCTGATGGTGGCCTGGACCCAGGGGTGCCAGGGAGTGGGGAGGCTGATTCTGAGGCTGGTGAAGGTAGAGCTGACAGGTGGGTGTGGGGAGTAGGAGGGGTTAGAAGGACACTAAGGTGTGTGAGAGGGCGGCCACCCAGGTGAGGTGGGCTGGTGGAAGAAGGCTGGGAGCTCACCCGAGTGCTTCATTGCAGGCGCCTGCTGGGGAGATGGCTGGGCAACAGCGCTCAGGGACACTCTGGTCCTGTGTGTGAGTGAGGGAGTTGCCAGGGGGAAAGGGGGATCTAAGCTAGGCAGGAAGAAGGTGCAAATGAGAGGGAAGAAACCCAGGGACCAAGTCCTGAACTTTCCTAAATTATGGGGCCAGCAGAGAGGCTGTGGGGAGAGCTGGGGAGCATGGTGTCCTGATGGCCAGGTGGCAAGGGTGTCACCAGAGAGAAAGGCGAAAGGAAGTCCAGGGAATGCAGACAGGGGGCTCAAGAGGAGAAGGGGCAGCCAGCCCTGGAAGGCTACCCTCTCCAGCCTGCTGGCCTCTTGGCCCGTGGCCCTGACTGAGCTTCCCTGTGCTGGGCACCCCACCTGCAGAGCCTGAGCCCACCCCACAGCTCTCAGTCCTTGGCACTAAAAATAGGTGCCACCTGGGAGAGTAGACAGATGGGAAGCGGTGCCCCTTGGCCACCGGCATCCTGGTTCACAGCTGGCCGGCCTGGCAGCTCGCTCTGCTGGCAGCAGGCCGGGCAACCTGCGCTGGCTCTCCTGTGGCCTGATGCATCCCAGCACATTCCTGGCAGAGGAGGAGGCTGGCAACATGGCATGCCAGCCCGGGGGGTGGCCTCAGCCTCAACTATACTATCCACACCCCAAGAACCAGCAGTGGAGCATGAGCCTTGATGCCAGGCCGCCTGGCCTCACACAGGCCTCTCTGCTCACCGCACACTTCGGGCAGGTCCTGTGTTCTGCCTGTACTTCTAGGTCCTCCAGGTAGCCCCTACCCTGTGGGGGTGTGTGAGAGCTAAAATATGCCATGTGCCCAGCAAAGGCTGAGGCATGTAGAGCTCGTTAAGTGTGGCGATTATCATTGTCCCTAACCCATCTGCACCTTCGTTCTCTCAGCTCTAGGGACAGCCCCTCCCCTGGGCGGCCTGTGTCCCCTCCTCACCTGGCCTCCCAGCCCCAGGTCAGAGTCCTCGGAGGCCTTTGATGGTGTCCCAGGTGGCGGGTGGTACATCTCTAATGATGCACTTCCTGGCAAGGACCTCCTTTCCTTATCAAGTTCCCTGGCACTTTTGTGAAAGTGACAGTGTGGGTGCTGCCACTGCCCACACCCCAGCCCTGGGCCCCTCATCACATCCCAGTGTCCACGCCCCATGTGCTAAGAAGGGTGTTTCACAGCCTGGGCCCGGGCTACCTTGCCCACTGGATGAGTGTCCTGGGGCGGCCACAACAAAGGTCCATACAGGGCAGCTTGAAATGTCTTCTCTCACAGCTCTGGAGCCAGAAGGTATCTGGGAGGACCAGGTGAGTGGCTGTGGGCCTTGATCTGGACTCAGGCCCCAGAGACCAAGCACCTGGATTGACCCAAGAGGTGTTTGCAGGTGGAATCCCTGAGGTCTGATTACCTCGAGCAGAACTAGGACAGGGAGCTGGATGGGGGGTCAAGGAGCGGGGGCGACTGGGGCAGGAAGCCAGGGTCTGACATTGTGCTCCTGGCAGGCCAGGGAGAAAGGGAGGTTGGAGAGGCTGGGAAGTTGGTCTGGTTCTGGGAGTGAGGAGCAGAGAGGGGGAGAGTCCGAGGGTTTTAGTTCACTGGGGAGGCCCCTGGGATCAAATAGGGTGAGGCGGGAAGGAAAGGGCCATCTCTGGGGGCTTGGGATAAAGGGCATGGTGGGGGGCTGGGAGGGGATGGGGGGGTGGCGGGAGGGCTCCAAGGAGGATCAAGCAGGTTTAAGTTTAACTGGAAGAGCACAAAGCCCCAAGTCACAGCAGACTGACCAGGGCTGGAGCCTGTATCCCGGCTGGGAGAGGGGGAAGAGCCCCAGCGCCCAGCTGTGCTCCCCATCTTTGGTGGGAGGGTGTCCAAAGGGAAAGGGGGAGCAAGGAGCAGCCTCGCTGAGGCAGAGGCAGGTGGGTGAGGCTGGGAGTTGCCCAGCACTGGCCTGTCTGTGGAGCTGTGACTGTGGCCTTTTGCAAGTTGGACAGAGCTTAATTGACGTCCTAGATCCCATTAATTACGTGACAAGGGAAGGCAAGCACTTTTTATTAGCTAATGAGGGCTTTTCACTTGGCATTCGAATGGCCCTTACTTGTGGAGGGGCCCTGACCCTGTCTGGGAGCAGGAGGCCTGCCCCGTGGCTCTGCCTCGTCCTGACCGACCGCACCTTCCAGCTCTTGGCCCCTGCATTTCTGGCAGCACACTGGGGTGATGACAGTGTCTCCTTTGTGCTGGTTGTGAGGAATCAGGGTGACAGCTGGGATGCAATCCTAGGGGCTGTCATCTGCCCACTCACACCCTTGCCAGGCTATGGGAGGCCTGTTCTGGCTGTGTTGTCACTGCCCTGCGTGACCTGTACGTCCTCTAGTTTCCTCCAGGCTTTTCCAGCTCCCATCTCCTCCTAGCCTAGTCTCCTGGGCCCACTGTACTTGCTCCTCCACCCCCCTAGTGACCCGCTGGTGTGGGACACACGTGTGTAAGAAAGAGGAATCTAGGTGTGAGCAGCTCCCCCAGATCTCCCACTGTGACCTCTTTGGGGGAGCCTCTTCGCCGGGACCCCAATGGGTTAACCCAGTAATACTCATCCTTTCTCACTCTCTGCTCGCTCCTTCACATGTCTGCCACCCTGGCCAGATGGACAGCTCCCCAAACATTCCCCTCCGTGCGGGGACACATGGGTCCTGGGCCCAAACATGTCCTGCCTCCATCCTCCTGGGGGTCCTTCCCCTCCAGCCAGGGCGCTTCTCTCTTGCTCTGACCACCGCTGAGTATCCCGCTTCTGCCCACCCCCTCCCAGATGCAATCACCCGAGGCCCAATGAGAGTGGCCCTCATATACCCACCCTCATGCCTGGTCCCATGTGCAAGGGAGGTCTTGGTGATAGGCAGGCCTGGGTCTGCGGGGGTGAGGGGATGACCCCATAAGGTGTGGTCTCCTCAGGCCGCTGGCGGGAACAACAGCTTAGCCAAGAACCTCTGTGGCTCCCGGCGGTGCGGCAATGCATCATCTCCAGCCTTGACCTTTCTCTCTTTAGTGACAGAAACCACATCGATCCCCAGCAGTGCCTCTCCTTTCTGTTCTCCAGCATGAAATCTGGAAAATAACACATCCCAAGCGGCACACGGCTGCCCTCCCCACGGACGCTGGCTTTCTGCTTTTTAGATCAACTGCACTATTTCCATCCCAATCCCTTCCTGGGGCAGCCCCTGGCTGTCACACCATTTGTGAGGACGCAAAATGTCTCCCACATCCCTCGGATGGGGTTCCACGCTCACAAACATGAGGATCGCTGTTCTTGGAGGATGGCCACTGTTAGTTAGAGCAGGCCAGGCCGGCTGCCAGAGCAAATTGCTCCCCAAAATTCATTTCCCACTCACAGAAATGTCCACGTGAATGGAGAACCACACCCACCCACTCAGCTGTCCCCCACTCGGTGGCTGGAACAGAGCCTGCTCGGGTCTCCGGAGCCAGCATCTCTGCGTCTCCGGGGAGGAAGTGGAACCCCAAGATGGCACACGTACCCCGATATGAGGAGCTAGAAATGTGGTTGCACATGGGAGTTGCGGGGGGAGCATGCTGTCCCGTTGCCTTTGATTTTCTTGAGCTCAGCACACTAACCTGTTGTGTGTGGCTTCCCGGTCACCTGAGCTCTTACATGCTCAGACCCCATCCTTACCCCTGGGTTCATTCACTTGTCCAATGAACTTCCACTGAGCATCTTTGTGATTGCAGGCACCAGGCTTGTTGCTGCAGCTTTAGAGTGGATCGGAATACTGCCATCCATGCCCACCGGGGGCTCTCAGCCAGGTGGGGGATGCTGGGAATGTCCTGGTGCTGCTGTGAGGTCAGATGGGAGGCCTACAACAAGAATCTGTTCCCTCCCAGTTCTGGAGGCAGAGTCTGAAATCCAGGTGTCACAGAGCTGCGCTCCCTCTGGAGGCTCTGGGGAACGGTCCTTCCTGCCTCTTCCAGCTCCTGGGAGCCCCAGGCATGCCTTGGCTTGGGGCCACACCCATCCAACCTCTGCCCTTGTCCTCACATGGCCTCTCCCTCTGTGTCTAAATCTTTCTCTTCCCTTATGAAAACCTTAGTCAATGGATTTGGGGCCACCCTAATCCAGGATGACCTCATCTTGAGATTCTTCACTTAATCACATCTGCAAAGACCCTTCCTCCAAACAAGGTCACAGTTACAGGTTCTGGGGGTTGGGATGTGGACATATCTTTTGGGGAAACTGTTCAGTCCACTACAGGGGCACCGATGACACTAAACCAGGGGCACAGAGGAGGCAGCCCCCTTTGCTGCTCCACGGGCTGGCCCTTCCCATGAGCTGCTGCACAGGTTGTCTTTGCTCGCTGTCATGTGGGGAGGACCGTCCCGCCTCGCAGAGGAGGGAGGAGACACAGGTGAGGTGAGCAGACCTCGGCGCCTGCCCCGTGCTGGACCAAGACTGTCTCCGCAGGCCCGGCCTCTTGGCAATTCCTCTCTCTGTCAAGAGTTGCCAGCGCTGAGCAAGGTGACTGTGACTGATAACCTCTCGGAACCTCAGCTTCCTCTTCTGGGAAAGGAGATAATCACGGCTCCCCCAGATCTATGGCGGTGGTGGGGGGCAGGAGGCTTGAACCTGCCTGTTCCTCAACCGTGACAGGCTCCTCTTAGGAACAAAGGATCTGCCCCAGCTCCTGGGATCACCCTCCGGGTTGTGGGTTAAGGCTGCTTGTAATTAATCCCTCATCATCAGGGCTGGGCTGGCATTCAAGATGTGGGTGAGGGGTGAGGACGGGCAGAGCGAGGGGGCTTGGAGCTGGCGGGTGCGAATCATTTGGGAGAGAACCCACAAAAAGAAGGAATCAAAAGGCAGACAGGAGAGAGGCGTCAGGGACTGGGAGAAGCAGGGAGACTGAGGGCAAGCAGGGCAGGGATGGGATGGCGCCCCTCACCCGTTCCTCACTCCTCCTCCCCCATGTCCCAGCCTGGCCAGGGGCAGCCGAAAGATGTGAGCGACCGTCAGCCTTGCCTTGCCTTGGTGCAAAGAAGATATTCCCTGAAAGACATTAAAATGAAGTAAATAAAGGAGATAAAAATGGAAATATCAAGGCAGCAACTTCTCTTCTTCTGATTACAAAGCAGGCAGCGGAAGGCGGGGCGCGGGCCCTTGAAGACGCAGCTGCAGCAGCCGGGCCGGCCTGATAAGGGCCAAGCCGCCTGCGCCAGAGAGATAAAGCCGGTGCCAGGCTGCCCGTCCTCAATCCCTCCCGGCCATCAATATTCACACAGCCCGGCCAACTGGCGTTCCAGATAGATTAAATATAGACCGCTGCTGCTGTGACCGAGACCTTATTAATCCGCTTGCAGGCATTTAAATGCCGTGGAAAATACAGAGTTTAGGGCGCATCCGTCAAGAGCTTGACACTTCCTCACTTTCCTTCCCTCCCACCTCTCCTCAGCCATTGTTTCCATGTCTGTAGTTTCACTTGGAAGTGAAGTTCGCAGACTCAGGTGGAGGGACCGAGATTAGTGGGGGGGGGGGGGGGGGAGGGGTGGCGGTCCAGACACCTGACGGAGGTCACTGCTGTCAGGGAAGGGGGCTGAGTGGTGTCCCAGCTGGGGTCTTTGGAGACTGCAGTGATTCTGGAAGGAAACGGCCTGACTTTGGCACTGGGACTCTGTAGGCGGGGCTGCCGGCAGCCTCACCCTTCCGAGTGCTTTGTGCATGGGGTGTAGCCTTTTCCTCCTGAGCTGTCTTGCTTGCTGACAGAGACAAAGGCTGAACAAACAACCACACAAACAAATTACAAAGGGAAAGTAAGGAATGTGACAGGGGTCCAGCCGGTCTGCCTGGATCCCTCTGTGACTTCCATGCCCTGATCCCAAGGCCCTGGCCTCCTGTGTGCTTGTCGGGCTTACTGCCAGGCTTGGTCTGCACTGGCCCTTTGCACATGCTACATTGCCTTTTAAGAGTCCCCTTCCTCCAAATGTCTACTCAGCTCCTTCCCTCACCTCCTTCAAGTCTGCTCAGATGCCACGTCCTCAGAAAAGCTGGGCTTGGACAAAAGGCAGGAGGAAGGAAAGGACCTTCAGGGAGAGGAACTGGCTTGTGCAGAGGCCTGAGGTAGTCTCCTGTGGTGAGGTGGCTGCAGGAGAGAGGGGGGGGGAGAGAAAGAGAGAGAGAGAGAGAGAGAGAAGGTGAGCTTACAGGTGGGCCAAACAAACCAGACCTCTGGCCGTAGAAGACCCTGGAGGGCTTCTCCCAATAGGAGTACAAGAACACATCCGGCTCCTCCTGGGCACACAGCACCCCAGCATTCCACACCTGTGCACACAGTACCTTGACACACTGACTTCACCCCAGCACATAGCACCACTTCACACAGCACCCCGGCATATAGCACCCCAGCATACTGACTGTACCCTGGCACATAGCACCCAGGCACAAAGCTCACACTCAGCTGTCTTGGTTTGGGCTACCCCCGAAGCAAGCTTTCAGGTGGGCTCCAGCAGCCAGATAAAGAGATGCTGAGACTGGCAGGTGAATGTCTGGGGTCTGTGCACTGAAAAGCCAAGAGACGAAGGGACATGCAGAGTACTGGCATGTCTCCACGTCAGTGAACACTGGTGGCATTCCGGCCTCAGTGACAGTTGAATGCGTGGACGAGGTGGTCCTACTTACTGGCACCTAAAGAAAAGATGCTGAAGCCGCTGAGCAGAGCCCCGCCAAGGTGGCTCCTGCCCTCTGTCTCCCCTTCCCTGTGCATGCTTCTCTTCATGGTGCACCTCCCGCATTCCTCTGTCAAGCATGTCATAGGCAGGTTTCCACGGAGTGGACAAAGGGAAGGGTGAGGACCTCATTTTCCCAAAACAACATACCAAGACCCCTGGCCGAGCAGATAGGACCTCGGAGGGAGGTGGGCAGGTCCCAGGCTCTCTCCCAGGGGCGCTCTTCTTCCAGGTGAGGTTCTTCCCATGTCAGCAGCAAGGCTTTTTAGACGCATGGGCCATGAGGTTAACTTGTGGGTAAAGACCAACATTTTTAAAAACATCAGTGTGCATCACACACAGAGGAAGTAAACACTGTTTGTGCAGCTTTGGTTTTGGGGGCACGGTGTGAGTGTAAGGATCGCCGATCCCGTTCACGAGCCACTCCCGCTCTTCTCTTGCTTCACAGACTCACTGGTCGACGCTCACAGCGACACAGCGAGGTGGGCGCCCCTGTCGCATCTGTTCCACAGCTGAGGGGACTGACGTGCAGGCAGGCTAGCTACACTCGGTCCGCTGGCTCCATGCTCCTGGTGGGATGCACCTAGAGAGGCCCCTCTCCTCTCTGACCCTCTGTTTCCTTGTCTGTGGATGGGGTAACCCTGGGCACTCCCCAGCAAGGTGCTGCGAGTGGTAAGCAGGGCGCACCTGTGGAGGCAGGCACTGCTTCCGTCAGGCCCTTCTGCAGCACTTCTCTGCTCTCCCGCCTCTGGGATCCCAGTGGCAGATGGGACGACGAGGTGTCCCGGCTGAGCCAGTATCTGCAAGCACATTCAAAGGAAAATTTACAGAACGCAAAGAGGACGTGTTTCAGAAAGCACAGGACAGGATATCCAAATTCCCCATTCCCCTAACTCTTGGGGCACACGTGTGCTTGTGAAGAGCCCCCCACATCTTTGGAAGCACTGGACTCTGCACATTAGGGCCACTGCCCTCTGGCCAGTGGTGGCTGTTTCTGCCAGCTCTCATCCTCGTAACTGGTCCTCATCGCGTTGGCCGCCACTGCCATCTCTCGCCTCCCCTGAGGCTGGTATGCTTCTGCATCTGGCTTCATTCATAAGCAAATGCCAGCTCACCCAGATCCAGAGCTCCTAGTCAGCAGCAAGCTCTGAGCAAATATCAGCAATCATTAGTAATCATTAATGAGAATTATAATAGGACCTCTTTCTCTTGAAAGTGGGTACCCAGTGGGCATGGGGAGCCACGGCTGACCCATCTGCCCCTCCCCTACTCCTCATGACAGGCTGGGCCGTGGCTGCTTCTGGGTGGATGGCACAGTCCCTGTGGCTCTGGGACAGGCCCACCTCCTCTAGAAGGTGTGGCACCGATGGATACGCAGCCCCAGTGTGCCCAGATGTAGACTGTGGGTAGATGAGCTGAAGCCTTGCAAGGAAGATGCATAAACTATGGGGGAGGCAGTGTATGTGGTCAGTGTGACCCCTGGATCCTCCTCTTTCAAGCTGTGGGACCCTGAGCCAATCACTTCCTGCTCTGAATTTCAATTTTCTCATCTGCAAAATGAGCATCATAGTGCTGACCTCACGGACAGATATGGGGTTTAAATGAGCTGCATGAGTTACAGGCAGCACCACCAGCACAGAGGGGGTCACAGCTGTTTCTGTTGCGCTGGCTGTGCTCGCCCAGGGAATTACAAGCAAATAAATGCAGCACTGGGTGGTGATGACACAGGGTGTGGGGCCCAGCGTGGTGTAAAATGTCTGGGGGCAGAGGTCCTTCTAGAACTGCACCTCTGGCCATGGTGCTGAACCACAGTCTTGTGGGAAATGTTACTCCCTTACCCTGGGACCCTGACACCCCATCCAACTTTTTCCAGGCAGCCTGAGCCAGGTGAGAGGCAAGAAAGTGTCAGGAAGGATGGGGGAGTGGAGGAAAGAAAGAGAATCAGAAAGAGAGCAGGAGAGAAAGAGACACAAAGAGACAGTGGCAGAGAGAGAGACAGAGACAGTGATGGGCTGGGACTCAGACAAGGTGGCACACTTTCACTGACATGTCTCCAGAAAAGAAGAGGAATTCCAGTGTTGATGCCATTTTTCAATAATCATGGTTCCTAAGGAGGGTATTTTCCAGGGAGTTACTTGCCACGATTCTCCTTCTCACATGCTCCACCTTTGCGTTCCTGAGCAAGCCTGTGCAAGAATCCAACACAGCTCTGCCCAAGAAGCCGACCCACTGCATACATGTGCACATGTGTGCCTATGTTATTAGAGATGTATGGAGATGTGTGTGTGTGTGTGTGTGTGTGTATCTCCAGAATTATTTTCTGGAGGGTGGGCCCCTTGTACAGGCTTCTCTACGTGAGTGTTCGAGGAACCCGTCTGTATCCATGTACCAGCTGGAGTTGTTGTGAGAGGCTGAATTCAGCTTCAGTGAATTTATTTTTGAAAACTCAATTTGTTTGCCCATGTGATGATGAGTGATTTACGTGCGCACCTGCCCACACCACGTTGAGTGTTCAGCAGTTTTTAACCAAAACCAGCATGACTCCCATACCCCATCCTCCCTATTAATCTGCTCTCTCCCTGAGTAAATTTTTTGTTTCCCTGGATGAAAAAAGTCCTCAAAGTGAAACGTTTTGCCAATGTGGAAGAGATGAAATAAAACAACAGCAGAAGCACTGAAAGGCATCAAAATCAAAGAGTCAAAAAACAGTTTTGAGCAGTGGAAAAAATGTCTCAATAGGTGTACTGCATCAAATGGAGAGAACTTTGAAGGTGACTGAAGTTTAAATGTGTAAGGATAAACACACGATTTTTTATAAATAAAGCCTAGTTTTTGGGGTTCCCCCTTGTGTGTGTGCAGATATATGTGGATCTGTGATGGCAAGCTGGCTGTCTGGCATCTTGTTAAGCAGCCTCTCAGGGCTGCTGTCTGGAGGAAAGGAGGCTCTGGCATGGGGGAGGGGAACACACGGCACCCCAAGTGTGAGCTGGGACCCCAGGAGGACAGCCCCAGGTGTCTCATGATTGTGCCTGTGACCTGTGAGCAGGCGCCTTGGTCAATGCCTGGCCCATTGGAGAGCATGGAGCAGCTTACTTCCCACCTCCACTGCTCCCAGCCCCAGGGCCCTCCCAGGGCCCCGAGGAGCTTTGGTGGGACCACAGAGACCTGTGGCAGCCTGGGCTCTGTCTCTTCATCCCCACCCATGCTAAGCCCCCTGCCCACAGAGAAGTGGAGAGATCCTCAGATCAGGAAACCACTGGGGAGAGCTTTAAAAAATGCAATTAAATGGAAAATAATTAAATCCAATTAAAAACAAACCATGAGGGAACTTCTAGGGACTGCTGGATGGCTGCTATTTTCAACTGTTTTTCCGTGAAAACTCAGCCCACCTCCAACCTGCCCTGGCAGCCTTCCCAGTGCCCACCGGCCTGGACTGAGAAGGTGGAACAAAGGTGGCCAGGCATCCACAGCACCTCTGAGGGGCCTGTGCTCCACTCTCCTCATCCTGGTCCCTGCTGTCCTCTCCTGTTTCCTGGGTCACCTCCTTGTTGCCCCCTTTCCCTTTGGGGTGCCTGGTGAGTCCTGCTCTCCCCCTGTCAACCTGAGAACCAAGAAATCATCCAAAGTGCATTCGCTCAGAGCTGTGTCCAGACCCTCTGAGTCTGTGACCTTCACACTTGCGGCATCTGAACCACCTGGGTGCTTGTTAAATGTAGATTCATTGGCCTCAATCCATCCTGGCTGGTGGTCTTGGGACTCTGAATTTATAATAAGTCCCCGGCAACTCTAATGGCTGGTGGTCCTAGTCCAGTACCCTCCTATCAGAGAAGCAGCACTGGGATTTCAGCCATGGAGAGGGACCTCAGGCAGCAGCCAGTGCCCAGGGTCAAGGTGAGGAAAGCAAGGATGCCTTCTGCGTCTGAGGGCCTGGGTAGGAACCATCTTGCTGGAATGGGCTTTCTCAGGAATCTGGACACATTGCTCCCCTGAAACATCCATTATCAGGTGAGGGACACAGCTGTTTGCCAGGCGGGAACTGAATTCCAGGCTTAATTCCATGAGGCTATTTCCCCAGGGTCCAACCCAGAGCAGGCCTGTGTCAGTGAGACTGAACTGTTCACAGCCATCAGCAGGGCAGGCTGCAGAGGGATCAGCTCCTGCCAGCGTCATTTGCACACCGAGGGCAGCATCTGGTCCTTTGCGTGACAAGCTCCTAGTCCCGAGGGCTGAGATAGGAGCCCCACAGTGGAGGTGCTGAGGTGGCCTGTCTGCCCCCAAATAATATTCCAAGGTCATTGCTGGTCAGAAATCCATTCTTGGAGAGAGAGCAGTACCTGGAGGAGGCACCGTTTTTATTAAAAATTTTAACATTAAGTGGAGAATAAATGCCAAAAGCAACACCAGAAGCCAAATGCCCAGCACTGTAAGGCAGCCCCCAAAACATCTCCTCAATCCCCACTCCAGAACCTCTGTCCCCACACCCTTCTGGAGACAGCCACACACAGACAAGTATCTGTGTGACCACATGGCATCACATAGCATTCAAGGATGTGGGTGTGCAAACGTATATGATCACGTGATACCCATGTGAGCTAGAGTGTGTGTGTGACTGCATGATTCCCAAGTGAGTATGCAAGTGTGGGAGCAACCTGCCTGTGTCTGGCATCTTACATCCTGGACCTTCCCAAACGGCAGCCGGTACAGAACAGTGAGTCCCATTCTCGCTGCGCATCACACTGACGAAGGGAAAGGAGCCCTCCCACCTCCAGAAGTTCCAAGCCCATCCCAGGAGGTGTCTGGGGCAGGAGTTATTTTGTGTTTGACTTCTCAGATAATTTCAGTATTCAGCCAGTACTGAGAACCCCACGGTGGAACCCAGTTGTGTGACTTGTCATTTTCCCTTTGACGTGTCTAGTTTTGTTTCTACAATCCTCTTGAATATGAGCTTTTGGTTGTATTTAATTTATAGTCATTCCTCAGTGATGATGTTTGGGGTGTTCTCACTCCTCTGCCTCTACAAACATGTTGTGTGCCCGGGGAAAGCACACTGGAGGTGAATTTCTGAAAGTGGAGTTGGTGGATTGAAGGGCATGTGAATTTCAAATTCATTTGGATATTCAAATTCATTTGTCCTTTTTTAGGTCTTTGGAAAGAATATAGTATAAAAGTCTTGGACATTGGAGAGAAGGTGAGCTTCTTCTTGTTCGGACATAGGAAAGTTGCATTGCGTTAGTTGGGAGCATGCTTGGTTGCCATGGTTGTTATTTGGAAGTTCAAGTCTGAATAAAAGATGGCTTTTAAGCCATCACAGGTTAGACTGGGGAAGATATTGTAGATCTGCTCTCTCAACCACAATTCTACCGTTCTTCTCTTTGGAGAGGCTGAAAAGCTAACATTTGGTTTTGGACTCCCTTGCAGCTAGTTTTCTGGATGCAAAGGAGGCCCCACCAACTAGTTCTTTTCACAGAAGTTGGAATTACCCTAGTGACAAGCAAAATCATGAAACACAACTATCTCAGGGCAAGTGGACAGTTTTGTACACACACATACACACACACATACACACCATATCATATAAAGACACACTCACACATATACACACGTACACCTTCTCGTGTATATACCACATATGAGTATACACTCACACACTACACATTCACATAACATATACCATACCATACACATACATATACACATATATACCACACACAACCCACATGTATGCATGCATACCACACCACACATCCACACACACATGTATCCACATACCACACCTTGTGCTCTCTGGGGGCTGCTGAGC